GTTGGTCCAAGGCTGGTACTTTGGATGTTCCCGTACAGGGGTTTGGACTTGGCTAGTACTGGGCTTGTTTGCTCGGTTGCTGTCCCGGATGAGTCGGCCGAATCTGCTGTCAGCTATCTTCGTTTGCCTGTCTAAGTATTCAGTCAGGTCTTTGAAGTTGGCTTCTCTGTCGCCTCGGCTTATCCGTTCTGCTTCTTCCGCCCACCGACCCTGTAGTTCGGGAGAGAGGTGACGGACTATGCCTTCCAAAGTGTGCATGGCGTCTAGGTCAGCCCTGTAACCTAAATGGTCGAGGGCTATTGAGCAGTTCTGCATTTTAATCACCAGGTCGGCCATGGTGTAGACGTCGCTCTTGGTTCTCTTTGCCTCTGCCATCACGCCCTCTATTAGGTTACGGGCTACTTTGAAAGGTTGGCCAAACAAGTCCCTCAGAATCTTCCTTGCCCTTGTGTAGCCTTGTTCTGGGTCGAGCATGGTGCACCCGTCGATAGCTTCTCTTGATCGGCCTCGGCAGTAGTGATTAAGGTAGAGTAGCCTTTTCCCAGGGTCGGTTACCTCATTTTCAACGAACGTCTCGAACTGCTTGACAAACTTGCAGTATTGCTCAGCTCGCCCGTCGAAAACCGTTAACTCCACTCTAGGCAGATCGATCGATGGTGGTTTGTATTCGGCGACCGGCATGGGGTTCCCTACCTTATCGCACTCTAACCTATCGGAAGTGTCGAAGTCACTGGTCTCGTGCACTCGCTGTTTCTGTGTACACTTCTCTGCTTCCTGTGCCTGTAGTCTAGCTGATAGTAACTGTTGCGCTAGTTCTAGTATTCTCAGCTTATATAAATCGACATCATTACGATCAATATTGTTTTCAATAACACATGAACTAGCACTGACAGGACTAGGCGATCTAGCATTAACTAAAGAATCATATGTACCCAAAACCTCCCCAGAGACTTGCCGTATTACTTCCTGTCCGGATTCGACTGCTTTTGATCCTTTTCTTGGCATTTTGCGTGATTTTTCCTCGTTCCAAATTGATCTATTGAGTATTGTTACGAACGTTTGAGCAATGCGTAGCCAAATTTGCAGCGGATCCCGAAATCAAAAGACGATTATCTGTGATATTCTACGATACTAGATTATTACAATAAACAATGACATAAACAATATGCAAACCTCAATAATACGATCACAAGGACTCAACAACGAGAAACCGAATAGCAGCGTGTGAGCAGACAGCACGTGCGCCACGCATGTCCTGAACAAGGATGTGCCAAAGTAGCGCTCTGGGCGCGAACAAACAACAATTGGTCCAGAAAAACAACCAGTTCGTAAAGACAAGTCAATAGTGTATGGAAATGAGTGATGTTGGGAAAAACACTGAATCGCGAGGGAAAAAGGGGGATTTTCCACGACCTGCTGTTACAGTGGGTATCGCTCGTCTTCCGAACTAAGAGCGAGTTTGCGGAGTTTATGAAGTCCCGCAAACGTCACGGGGCAGTGTGAACAGTGTGAGGATGATGGACCGCATTTATATTTGCGGACTTTTGTATGCGGTCTGCAGGCATTTCAGTCATTACACCCAACAAATAAGAAAAATGAACAAGATGTCAAAAATGGCGAGGTATATGGGTAAATACCTGTAGGTGAGTTCTAACCGGAGTGTGCTTCAATAAGTGAGAGGGTAGGAAAGAACTAAGTTGATTATAAAGTTTTGTTAATAACTCAGCTTTTATCTTCTCTCTATCGGCAAAACCCGAACAAGATAGGGGATGGGGAGTTTTGTAGAGATTTATTCTTGATAAAAGGTGCCGGAAAACGGGTCGGGTGGCTGAACTGGTGCGAAAAGATAATGTCTCTGTGTAACGCATGAGTGGGGTCCTGAAGTGTCTCATGGATTAGGGTTAGACAAGATTAAATATGCTGATTAGATTAGGATCAAATCTTATCAACTCTACTTCCAATACTTGTCAGCTGTGCACAGTGATTGAGTGTTGATATGAGCCTGTCGCCCGATCATCATAGCTTCAGGTGAAATACCCGTGGCCCTGGAGGGTTTTCAAGTATTTCGTGGTGCAGTTGGTTCATACGTCAAATCAGCATATTTAGCAACAACTTAGAATGACGGTACTGTCCTGGGACATAGTTTCTAGCGTCTACCTAAATCAAAAATATCCATCGTTTCTCAATTTTTCTGCAAAATAGAGTACCATTTATTTCGTTTGATTAGGGATGATGACAGTTCTGCCCAGAAAGTGGATTACTAGTTATCCTTGAGAAAAATCTGTAAAAAACGATTCGTTTTAACATTCTTGCAACCACAGGCGAGGCATATAATATAATAAGATGTGATCTGGACCCATGGGTGTAAACTAGAGTGGGTGACAGTAATCCACTAATCATAACCGGTGGAAATAATGGCAATATGATTGATCTGAGTCCGTTGCAAGAAAAGCAAAAGATACTTCTTTATACGGAAGTGATTCACCCACCAAACACTGAATGGCAGTTCATTTCAGTTCATACAACCACTATGAGGGAATGCGTCCAGCTCGTTGCTAATAGACGGCCGGGTTCAATGAAGCAGAAAGCACGTGATCTGCTGGCCAGAATCGTCGACAAGATCAGAGCCAGTCAGGCGATCAATGGATCATTCAGCGGTTAACATTTGACCAAAGCCAAATCAACCAATCCGGGCGCAGCCAGATGGACGGTTTAGGTTTATCAGTAGACCAATGAGCTTTTATGCACGGTTTTGTTTGTGACGAGCTCATATTTTATGTAAACAATGTATTCTGTATCAATAAAGCGGAATTAATTTTGAAGCAGAACTGAATTCTCGCTGAAACTAGTGGGACGAAAAAAACACTAACCTCGCAGTTTTATGTTCTGCTTTCGGTTGCTACTTTACAGTATCGTTCAATAAACTGCAGAAAGAATAGAAGCATCAAGTGAAAAATATCCGAATGCCTCAGTATGGCCGGGGCCTGGTGTCTTAGGCTCCGAGATGGCTACTCGTTCTGAATGCATCTCAAAATGCTCCCAACTAACCGTGCGTCTAACGTAGACTATGCCGAGGAAGTCCTACTAACCGGCTTCTCGTGGTGGAGATGTTCCCACTTAAGTGAGAGGACGGATGCGAATGCCCGGCACTGTCCACCGGGTTGGCTGACTCATAGTCAGTCTAGGGGAGATAGTTGAACCTGAATTCCAAACCAACCATAGATGGCGGAAGGCGTACAACGGTATGCTCACCGGCATCTGTGGCGAATGTTTGACCTCATCCGAGAGACGTATGAACTGAGCATTCAGCCACCGGTCTTCAGTGTGTTATGGACCCTACGTTTCGTCTCGCTGCCTTGCGGGTTAGGCTTTAGATAGCTAGAGGCTCCGGTTGTGTACCCCTAATAAAACCACCTGCTTTGGCTTGGGCAATTTGGCAGTATTGCGCCAACAAGCAAATCATGGACTCGGACTATCCTTACGGATTGTACCATGTTTTGTTTGGCACAGTTTGAAATCAGGCGGGTGTGGTTATATATATATATATATATATATATATATATATATATATGTATATATATATATATATATATATATATATATATATATATAATGTGAAATGAAAATATCCAAAAGTCCTCGTGATAACCGAAAATCAGCTAGACAAAGAAAGAGTCCGAGTACAACTACGCCACTGACCGCGATACTCAGCCGTATCTGAGTGTTTCCAGCCGTTGGGTAGGTGGACTACGTAGACCCCAGCCCGGAAGTCTAACATTTTCCACTTGCTTAAGTCTACTGGCCAAGGTTTTCATGTCGTGCACTGACCACCACGCCCTCGGAGAACAGCGTACGCCGAGGAAGTCTATCAGTGGGCATATGTAACGCATATCCCATCCACCTTGATCTGTTTAGATTCAGTACTCGATCCACAGACTGTCCGGTTCCCAACACCTTACACCTGACCTCAGCGTTGCTGATACGGTGTTCCCACCATGTTCAAGCAATGCTACGGAGACATCTGTGCTCGGACACCAACAGTCTTCGTCCACCTTTTACCCTTAACGGCCGCGTTTCTGAGCCGTGTGGAAGAACAGACCTAACCGCCGCATTGTACATTCGACCCCTGACAAACAACCGGATGTCACGCCGACGCCACAACTGAATGGGGTAGGCAAAAGCCAAAAGCGTCTTCTGTATTTGCGATAATACTTTGTCCGATATCTGTTCACCTGATGAAGTGTAACTGCCCAGATAAAACTTACCCACTTCAGCCAGAGCTTTCACTGCCAACACAACGTTTGGCATAGCGCCAACCCAGTCCTGCAGCAGCATTTTACACTTTGAAGGTGCAAAACGCAGCCCAAACGTCGCTACTTTGTTGCTTAGGCTACCTAAGAAAGCTTGCAACTTACCTGGATCTTCATTCAGAAGAGCAATATCGTCCATGTTTTCCAGCTCAAACGGTTTACTGCCTGAGCGGAGATGGACGCTACTATTTTCACACGAGGACAGGGCTATCTCAAGAATCAATTACAAAATTGAGGAGAAAAGGCGAAAGAGGGCAACCCTGACGAACATCACTCTCCGTAGTGAACTCGAGTAAACGATCGCCGCAATCGCGAACTCGGCCTCGGCTGTTTTGATACAAGCATTGGAAAACAAAAATAAATATCTCTGGCACGCCCTTGAGTAGGAGCCAGCGCCAAGAAAGGTGCACGCTCCCGCTGTTTACTTGCCTCTTATACTTCTCTTAGTTTTGTTTCTGATTCGTTTATACTGCGAGCGAAAGCACTAAATTGTGAGCGTAATCATAGTAAGGCTAATCTGTGTGATTGGTTGCTGTCGCCTCGTGTTAATATAGTACAAGTTGCAAAACCATATCTGAAAGGCCTATTATTCATACAATTACCTGTTGTTCCATTTTCACTATTGATTTGGATGTTCGTTTATTATCTAAGTTTACGTTTCGGTTATATTTGTCGTAATTCTGCCCGCAGGTTTTGCATTTAGCTAAAAGCCAGGCAATCCCCGTTCGGGGTTATGTGTCGTGTGCTCTGGGTTGTCCATATGAGGGATCCGTTTCTCCAGATGAGGTCGCCCGAGTTGCAGAGCTATTGTGGAATATCGGATGCTATGAAATGTCTCTGGGTGACACTGTTGGAAGAGGCACTCCTGAGAGGTGAGCTCCTTTGTCTTGATTGAGCTTCAGACTTCATTTTAGATGAAATACTTGGCATAGCATTTTTCATTGTCAGACAACGAGCCGATCATGAGAAAATCAATGCATGACTTCGTGAGATGCGATTTGTAGTTTCACATAATAATAATAATAATGGTATATTTCTCGACCATGGTCGAGACGCATGCGCAAGCGCATGATCATGGTGTACAACGTTACTCAAAACAATGAACTATACACGAATTTCAAGAAAGCGAGTGGAGTCGTCAGAAGCAAAACAATGTAGCTAGAGATAGTTTGAGTCGACTGAAATTATAAAGGTTTGCGCGGCAAATACGGTTTGGTTTCGGATTCGACTGGTTGGTAGTGGTCCGTGAAAATACAAAATATATCGTGAAAATATAGCGCTAGGGATGCGTTATAAGTCATAATAATGCAAGATGTGGGTAACTGAGGCCTATTGCGGGTTCTATGCACGAAATAAGTAATGGACATGGAGAGGTTAAGGAAATGAATGGGAGTACAACCGTGAACTTTGGTGAATATGAAGAGAACGGCTCTCTATGGAGATGAAGTTGGCCCGGAATGATGGATATTCCCGATTCTAAGAGAGGGAGTTCATCATGAAACGAGGGGACATGAGGAAACTTTGTGGAAATGGACAGGCAACGTTGATGAATGTGGAGGAAACAGCAATCCATATATAAGGTGAGTTTAGGTTCGGGATCAATAACCCTTATCATTCAGAAAAAGGCAGCGCAACTTGAAGGCCTTTAACTGGTGAAGAGTCAATTTCAAGCTGGATACCGATCGAAAGAAAAATGAAATCTTGGAAGAGAAAACGGAGCGAAAAATCTCCTTGTAGGCTCGCGCCTTATTGTTCTGTTATGCTGACAAATATATTGACTTATTGATTCTCAGTGATCTTCGGCATCACTGTTGGGAACCAAGGATGTGAGGGACAAGTGGACTCGCGTTCGGATAACGTATCGAATTTTAATGAGAAAAATTCCTGTGTTGCGTATTCTGGCTCTGTTATTGGACTGTTTCACATGAGACCAAGGCGATGTGCAGCATCCCGTAGGTATGGTTCATCAGGCGGGGTAAGGGACGTGTCAATCAATCAATAGAAGGTTGCTTGCGAACTGTTATTTCTGAAGCCTCCAACAGTGACATCAGTAGTAGAGGTGTTGCGTTAGGAGACGTCTATCAATCTGCTTGTAAGCATTTCGGAATGTTTTAGGTCGTGTGGCCCGATTGCAATCCCGTTTGCTATAAAAGATGCCATTAAGGTCTCTGTCGGTACAGGTCAAAGTGTGGACATTGGTCACCGAAAGTGGTGCCCGAGAGAGTGGGCGACGACAAACCTGAAATGAATGGTGTTAGCAGTCTGGACGTGGTTCCAGCTGATAGTTATGATAATAAATAGCGACAATTAATAATGAACTGACTGGGTCTATGTGGACTGTCAGTGTTACATTTCGTACTTTGATCTGGGTTCTAATTAGAGAGCTTAAGTAACATGGGGTTGATAAGTACTACCACCGGCTAGCAAGATAGCGTAAACCCGGTTGGCTGCTGCGTCTGCATTTCAGAGATTTAACTTAATTGTGAGCAGGCTGCGGTAGTGATTGTAGTTGGCAGGAGGCAGTGGTTACTGTTAGGTAGGGTTGTAAACCTAAGCGTGGCTTGGATGCTAGGACATCGAGAAGACCGCTTTCTAAAAAAGATGACGGACGATAGAGGGGTATAGATGGAAAAGGTGACCGGTTTCCACTATGTTCTTATCTCTTTATTTTCCTTTTCCGGGCTTCATCGAGGTTGCCGTTATTCGTCAGGTACGTCGATACTCTGTCCAGGTCAATGGGTTGAAGGTCAGGGCTGTGGTAGCGATTGTATTTGACGTCGACGTGCATGCTAGGTGCGCTTATGGTGGGTATGGGGTGGTTGAAACTTAGAGCGGGGGATGGGAAAGCGTATGTGGAGAGTCCAGTGCGCTGTCACCCCAGTCAGTCTCGAGCGTGAAGACCAAAGCTTGTCGAGCGAACAAGGGCGATGTGGGGTTTCCCCTTTCGCAGGATCAGGTCTGAGCTGATGGGATACTTTCCCATAGATGAAGGTTGCCCAATTCCTTCACAGCCCGATGTCAGTGGTATTTGGAGATCGAATCGATCCCACGAGGTCTTTTTCGTTTCCACTGTTCTTTTTTTTCAGTTTTATTATTATTATTATTATTTTGTTTGTTTCCTAACAGAGGGGTGGTTGAGCCCATATAGGAACTTTCCATAGCCCCTCCGCCCGATCGTAATTTTATGCGTATTTGTCTTTTTTCGCAACTGCTGGGGGTGGTCTGTTTTCCCCACGTTCCAACGACGCAATGGTATGGGTGCCGTTGACATCAGGGGTTACGCTAGCATGGGCTGGGAAAATGCAGGATGGGATTATGCAACACACGGAGTAGGACAACGAACGTTGTAAAGCACAAGCTAGCATACGTGTGTCAGTCTCATACAGCGCCAGGCCATGCCTAAGACCATCAGAGTCCATTCCGGGCTAGCTGGTGCAGATGAGTTTAGCTCTGCTGATGGGAAATGGTGTGGTGCACAAGAGAGAATATGATAGTAGTTGGTGCATGGTAGATACAGAGGTGAGACGAGAGGAAAAGCCACCAAGTAAGTACTAGCAGGTGGGCTTCTGGGATGATAGATTCTGGAATGAGGTGATTAAGAAAGGCGAATTGAGGCCGGGCATAAAACCCAGGTGAGTGGTGGTAGCAAAGATGAACGGGAGAGGAGTGAAAGGATCGAGTAAAGTGGTAGACGGCGGAACTCAGTGTCCTAGGGTCCGAAGCCACGTACTTATTTTCTGTGGAGACATCTAAGACTAAGAAACTTAGACTGGTTGGCAATAGAATAGGAACATTGTCTAAAATTAGGAGAACCGGCAAGCATTAAACTAGGTATAGTTATAAAAGTCAGCAAACTGTGGCTACAGTAGTATAGATTGTAAGCAATATAACGTAAAAGAGAATTGTTGCCCTGGCGTTTGTCATCGGGTGAGAAATGAAAGTTCTAGTGCAGTTATCCTAGTAATCAAACCCGTTTTCGTAGGCCACCTCTTCGGTGACGGTCAGGCCGGTAAGAAGGATCACATTGGGAACAGTCGAGAAGTGATCCAGCGAGCCTCTGAACTGGGAAATTGAGAGACTTTTGCGGATGTTTAGCGGGAGTTTATTCCATAACTTTGAGTATTTTATAAGGAAAAAGTTAGATCTTAACGCTAGTTTTGATCTAGGAATAGAGAACTGCAATGACCGATGGCGTAGAGCATAATTCGTGGAGGGAGTGAGACGAATGGGTTCGGTACACGAAAAGGCCGTACGGTGGTACAGCTTAAACAGGGAGCACAAATTGAGCTTCATGCGACGCAACCATAGAGGGTCAAGATTGAGTAGGATGCATCGATCCTTGTAACACAGACTGGAGGAAAAGCCTACTAATTGTTTGGTGAACTGACGTTGCACGGACTCCAGAGAAATGCAGTCGGATTTCGTCATGTTGGTGAAGATAATGGGACAGTATTCAAGGAGAGGCCTGGCGTGAGACTTGTAAGTGAGCAGTTTGCAATCATTTAGCCGAAAAGTTCTGGAGATGAGACCAGTGGTTCTTCTGGTTTTTGCAATCTGGAGTGGAACATACTCGGAAAACCTAAAGCTACAAGAATAATGGAGACCAAGGTCTCGAACTAAAGGGCTGTACGAAATGGGTAGGTCGTGGATAAGCAGGGTTCCGGGGGTCACTTGACATCTGAATGTTGTGTAGCAGCTTTTCGAGGTCGAAAAGTCCATATTCCATGAATTGCACCAATCCCCGAGTCGCTTTAGGTCACTAGAGATATCATCCAGCATGATGTTGAGGTTTTGACGAGGAAACTCATAGACAATCTTAACGTCATCAGCAAAAAGGAATGGGGTACCATGGTGCAAGGTGGGAAATATGTCGTTTATGTAGATGAGAAATAGTAAAGGACCGAGTACACTGCCTTGTATAACTCCACTGGTGACTGGAGCAGGTTGTGAGAGACACCCATCAATGGAAACCACTTGTGAACGGTCCGATAAATAAGATGTTAACCAAGATAAAAGCGAACCGGAAAAGCCATGAGCTTTGAGTTTGGTTAATAACAAAGCGTGAGGGACGCGGTTGAAAGCCTTTGTCATATCAAGGTATATGATGATGATAGATTTAGCGTTGTCGGCGGCCGCCGTTATGAGGTTAAAAAAGTCGTACTGACAGGTAGTGCATGAACGTGATTTTAGGAAGCCATGCTGCCCACTATGGATGATGTTATGGGACAACAGGAAGTCGGACATCCGCTGTTTGATGAGGCGTTCCATCAACCTAGAAGCAATTGGAGTGTGGTTGATAGGGCGGTAATTTGAGGGGTCATGTATTGGTCCCTTCTTATGGATTGGGATGATGACCGCAGTCTTCCACTGTGAGGGAAATATGCCAAACTTGATGGATAGATTGTAGACCTTCAATAGTAAGGCTGCGACATCAGTTCCTCCAAGACGTAGAAGTGTCGGCGGAACACCATCATGGCCAAGGTGTGAGGACTTCCGGACACGGGTAATCTGGTTGGTCACCTCTTTTAAAGTAAATTCTAAATCAGACAGTGAGTGCTCGGTGACAGGGTCTATGCATGGGGATAAAGTACGGGGGTTCGTAGTCATGGATGCAGCAAAGTAGGAGTTAAGCGCCTCGGCTATCGCTACAGGTGAGGTAATGTGGTCGTTATTTTCTAAGATTAGAGAGGGGATACTTACTGGTTTGCTCTGATTTCTATTTTTCATTAGGTATGCCAACTTTGAGGAAGTATCATGGCATTGCAAGGCAGATACTTCTTGTTTTTTGAGCATATCATCAGTCTTCATTCTGATTGCTACCGAGAGACGTTGGAGCTGCTAGAATGACGATAAGTCATTATTGGTTTGGTACACCTTCTGGAGCTTCAGGTACTTGTTTTGCATTCGGCTCAGGATTGAACTACGGACTCGGTTTGATGTGATACGAGTAGTAGTGATTTTGGACAGCAAGTATGATAGGTTAGAATATAGTAAATTAGCAGCCAGCTGAGGGTCGCTTTGCAGGAAAAAGTCGTCCCAGTCTAGCGATCGAAGCGTGCAGATAAGATTGACCCAGTTGACTGCTGAAGAGTAATGATTGGGTAGGTGGGATTTGTCAAAAGATTGAGGAACCACGAAGGTGCAGGACACCATTCTGTGGTCGCTTCCAGGAAAGAGGTCGAGCGTACTGGCTGAAACATCTGATAAACCAATAGTAAACAACAAATCAAGGATGTTGTTACCTCTGGTTGGGACTGTTACATGTTGGATCCAGCGCCCAACGCGGATGCATGACATAAAATCTAGTAAGTTGTTTGGGGCGGATAGAGTATTCCAACAAATGCTCGGTGCATTGAAGTCCCCCGCTATGAGGTTGGAGGAACAGGGCAGCAATGAAAGATAGTTGAAAGCGTCAATAATCTTGGTAAGATCCATAGCGTTGGAATCGGGTGGCCTATAGATGCAACCAATATGAAGATAGGAATTAAGTAAGGGAATTGTTAACCACAGTGAATCCTGAATGGCGTCCAGAGTTGTGTGTGACAGTGGAATGGCCAGCAGAGTGTTTTTGACATAAATTAGACAGCCTCCCCCACGACAAGGCCTATTCCTTCGGAACATCTGGTAGCCAACTAGACAGACTCGATCTGACGGGACGGAATCTGTTAGCCATGTTTCAGTTACAATGATAATATCAAAGTCAGAGGGCTCAGCGATGCTGCGGATGGCTTTAGTTTTGTGCAGTAATGAACGGGCATTTACAAGTATGACTGAGAGAGATGATACAGGCCTCGGTAGTGGTGGATATGGTGGGGGGTTCGGTAGTGGTGATGAGGGTGGTAATTCCAGTGAAGTATAGGGCAAGGATGGGGGGAGGACCTCAGTTGTTCCACGGATTGGATGAGTTGAAGCCTGGAGGGGGATAGTGTGAGGGGAGAGGGATGGGGAGGTGCTGTTTGGGAGAGTAGTTTGAATGCGGGGAATATTCTCAAAGGGGGCCGGCAGGAAAAAAGCGGCCATGGATGGATGGCAGTACTGGGCCAAGAGACGTGGATGGGTCTTGTGGGAGAGGGTAGCTAGGTGAAACCAGGAAATGGTTCCCAGGGAGTGACTGGGTAGCGGTAGAGGTATAGAGTAGTTGGTGTGGCGGATAGTAATGTAATGGAGCGGTGAATGGGGGGGGGATAAGGTGGGTACAAGTAGGGTGGAAATGAAAAGGCAGTTAGCCGAGATGGAAAACTAGGATTCCCAGCCGCATAAGGGGCTGGTAAAATTTCACGTGACTGAGTCATTACATTATGGTTTGCATGTGCGTTACGTTGATGGGCCTTGTTCTTTTGGTGACGAGGTGTTAACTTCTGTGGGTGAATCTGCACTGACGGGCTAATTAGCGGTGGTGGCCTAGGTGGTAACCAGACACATTCTGGTTGCAAATGGGTGGGTGCAGATGGTGGGCTTAGGGGCCTGGTTGAGTTATCAAAAATGCCAGAGGTAACAGGATGCATGGGTGTAGACGGAGGTGGGTTGCTGGTGCAGTGATTTTTAGGTGTGGTTAAATAACCCGACATGGAGCTAGTAGAAGGAATGGGGTCATCTAGACTTGTGGAGTACATGAGCTCGCGGGTGGATGAGTTGGAGGAACCTTCATCAGTTTTGTGGACGTTGGGGCGCTTGTTCCAGTCTGTAGATTTGCTTGGGCTATTCTGGATATTGGGGCGTTTGCCAGGTGGCTCATTGGGTGAGGAAATTGGCGTACTGTCGAAATCTACGGTTGCATTGTAATCTGCAATAGATGGCAACATCGGGTGATGGCCAGTGATAGGTGCCCCAGAGTTTTGGGGTGGATTGTTGGTTGCGCTAACACCGGGGTTACTGTTCTGGGCGTGACTCTTGTGCACCTCTCTTTGCAGTGGGGTCTTGTCAGGAAATATCTTGGCGCACTTGAAGCCGGTTTTGGCTACGACTAACGCTTGCCGGCTGATAAAAATCTTGGCGACAACTTCATTTGTAAACTGGAACAGCAGTGGACAGGTGGTGCGTAGGGAGGTTTTGCGGAGTCTAATACAGTGGCACAGTTGTGAGTCAAGGTTGCAAGCGCTTAAGATCATATTTTTAGCAGCTGAGAGAGGTATTCGGTCTGGAATGTTAAACACAACCGCATTGTTTGCCTTTTTTATCCGTCTGGAGATTTCCGAGGCAATTGTGTCCACAAACTTCGTGGCCAGTAGTAGATTGGTTGGGGTATGGTGTGCGGCTGGATCAAGCAAGAATGCTATAGGCATCAGTTGACTGATAATTTGATCAGCGGAGTCAATGCGAGAGGAAAGACTGCTCAGATTTTTGCTCATTTCCGTAGTTTGTCTATTAGCATGTCCAAGTATATCTACCAGAGAGACTGAGCAGTTATTCAGTGAGTTTTGCAGTTTAGCAGTCTTGCGACGGCGGTTGCTGGCAGTTAAACCGTTGAGTGCACAACTGTATTCTGACTTGGGAGTTTGTTCGTTTCGATTCAGTTTTGGCCGGGACTCCCTTTACTTTATTTTATCACACTCATATCATACGATGGTTATTCATTGTCCTATGGTGACAACCTACTAGATACGTTGTGGTTTGGTGAAGATAATTGTAAGTACCAAAGCACGATTGATTCGACTCATTGGCGCTTTTTAAGCCCCGACGCTATCGTAATCACAAGCGTATCGATCAGTGCAAAATCAGGAAACATACCCTAAATGTAGACTTTATTAAGCTTGTTATTTACGTACAGCTTGAAACGGAACAGGTGAGATTATTAAGGTGCTTGCATTGGAAATGAGAAAAAACAATGCTGCAACATATGGCATTCTACCCCATCAGGGAGGGTGCGAATGTTCTCGAGCGTGGTAAGCAATTTCTACATGTATGAAAATGCAGACCAAAACACGAGTATAATCGACCTCACAAAAATATGTGTGAGTTGGTTATTGATGGAAAATGGGTTGTTATCAACAGCAACTGCTTTTGGTGTACTTTGTTGAGTGTAGTGCGGGGCGATAGACTGGTATATGGTTTGACACATCAGAATGTGAGATAAATTTGCAAGGAATGTCCTACTACATCCATTGAGGATCCGTCTGATGGTGTAAAACAGAGTTGTCGGGTTGTTATATCCACGCAGGACCTAGCTGTTTGATCGGAAAAGTTTCGTTGCGGCCACCAGAAAAACACTCAACGAGCTCCGCTTCATCTACCAATGGATCGTACTTCAAAGTACGAGAGTTTCTTCTGACGGAAACAGGACCTAGGTGTGTTAACCAAGGTAGTAGGATGTTGTAAATACTGTCGCGATGCGATTTCTGCGGCTATGGTACTTCAATTTAAACTAGAGAGAGCTTCCATAACAACTGTTTCAGTGATTACTAACACCATTTGTTCGGGTAGAAGTCCAAATAAATTCGAAAAGCATGGACAATTTTCCAAAAGTGCCACCAGATATCAGAAGAACATTATGTGGTATTCGCAGCCTTTCGGGTGTCGGAAGTTTCCCAAGCACGCTCCACATTATTGGTGCCACTGGCTTGAGTCATGATTAACATTTATCTAATCGACAGCAGATCGAAACATACTCTTCCACCTTTCGCTATATTCTTGTGCAAAAATTTCAATCAAATAAGAAAAACACCATGATTGTCCACTGAGCGGCTCAAACGTTCCTGGTTTTTTTCTATGTCGCTCATTCACCATGTACATCTTACAGTTTTTTGTCCCCTGCGAAATTTCCGTACTTCTAATCAGTTAAGCCTTCAGACTCGCAGTTCTCTAGGTTGTTTAAAACTTTTAGCATCGTAATGACGTACACCCATGTGATTGTAGGATTTGGGACGTATGCTTCGAATCTGTCCTCGTTTGATTAGGTTTGAAATCCTGTCCCTGAATCGTAGATTCTAATACACGTGTCTGATCTGGAATTTAATTACAGCATGAATCGGTTACTGACGGTTATGCTTGCTCAAGGAGGTGCTTGCCCACGTGAAGCAGTCGCTGTGCATTGCCACGATACAGGAGGAAATGCTCTGGCCAATATCGGTGTTGCTTTGGATCACCACGGCATAAGGGTGGTCGATTCTGCGATCGGTGGCCTCGGAGGGTGTCCGTACGCTGGGCCGGATGCTCCTGGAAATGTAGCGACTGAGGCTGTAGTGCGGTATGTGCTGGACAAAGGTTACATTTTGTCATCTAACCTAAAACTGGAACAGTTAATCGCCGTGAGTTCCGTGCTTTGGGCACTACCCACTTTGGGCCGTTCGTTGTGATGTCTAGTCCATTATTTGAGGGCACTAATAATGAAATGGATCCGGGTCGCAGAACTCAGTGCATTCAACAACGACGTTTTGAATGTCTAGGTATCAAGTAGAGAAAAATGCAAGTACCTAACGTTAAAGGGGGTTCAGATTACTTACGGACCGCCTTATTGCATGCGGTGACGAGTTAATGTTATCAGTACCAATTCCGTCGGAATATATCGAACAATTAAAAAGTTGGATCTGACGCACTAGTGACAGAATGAGAAACAATCCGTGTGGTTCATATAAAATACCTTGAGGGCATGTAAATTCTTGTTTCTAAGGATCCCTGATGTGAGCCATTATAATTATCAGCACACGGAATGAATCGGATATTGTAGCCTCTCATGCCGTAAATTTTTTCTATCACTTATCGAGAACTACAAATGTAGTAAGCAATAAACTGAAAAATTCAGTTGTTTTACCTGCATATGGTACAGGATAAGTGATGTATCGTTTTTGCGGGCATTGATGAGTAGAGTGCCTAATCGTCGGGCGGAGCATTTTGAGAAACCGTTCTACTGGTGTTTATCCACAACGGGTGTGTTGAGTAGCACGATAGCTAGAGTTCTGGAAGTAGTTATCAGTCCTCCGTCAGAAGCGGAGGTTCACGTGGAATAAGCTATCGTAAACCATATGAGGTTGTTGGACCGGATTGGTAGTCTCCGTTTATTTTTGAAGATGGTGGCTCAATTTTGTCACTGGAGTTGAAAAAACCTTGATTTGCCATGGTACGATCAAGTTCCGAAGAGTTGATCGGAATCGGAGATCATACTGATTTATAAGAATGGTGACAGATTTTTATGTGAAAGCCACAAGGGGATTGGTTTGGTTGGCAACGCATTTAAACTGGTCACTGGTATTGTCTGTCGCTACCAACTAACACTCGCGAACAGTGCTCGCGCGGAAGTCAACTTGGGTTTTTATAATATGATTACGCATGATTGCAATGAAAGGGGTATACTCAATAGTCACAAAGGTCCATCATACTATTAGGGATAACAGGCAGCTAGACATCGAGACTTAAAGCAGAGGATCACATAAGGTCCTAGTGGATGAGATGTTGTAACGAGCAAGAAAACCTCAACATTTGTTTTTCTCTCTTGGCTATTGTAGCGGCTTCGCAGACACCAAATTCAATAAAATACAATTGCGAGCTTAGAGCTTAGGCGCGCTTTGTTTAAGTCCACCGGTGTGAAAATAAGAACACGTAAAAAAGAAGAAGAACCTTCGTCACACTACGTCAAAACGGCAAGGCGCGCTCCAGCTCATCAGCTCTGGTGATTAGCTAGATCAGCCTCCCTTCTCCTGTACTTCGTACAGGGCAATCAATACAAGTACAAAAACCATCAATCGCTGTCGTTCTGCGTCTTTATTCGCTGGACGGGAATTGAGTCCACAAGTCGTGCGTTCGACCAAATTGGTGAGCCCGTTCCAAGTTATTATTAATTTTTATTTATTTATTATATCGTCCGTGCCCTTCAGCGTTCCTTTTGTTTTCGTTGTGCACATACGTATTGAGCCTTTTTTGGTGTTAATTTCGATCAGCCATCGTATATTTATTTTGCTGTCTATTTGATATGGATGACGCTAAGTTAACTATGTCTGACCCTGCGGTGCCTGAAACGCTCTCTATTGCGCGCCCAGTGAAAGCGTTACCTTTCATTCCGGGTAATCCCTCTCTTTGGCTGACTCATCTGGAAGCACAGTTTGCTGCCTCCAGAATCACCTCCCAGCAACAGAAGTATGTGCATCTCACTGCCGAACTTCCTTTAAATATTCTTGAAGCTGTCGAGGATATCATCTCCAACCCACCCACGGACAAGCCTTATGATATGCTTCGCCAGGCTATCTTAGATCGCACCGGGGTCTCCTACTCAAACCGTCTTCGTCAGCTGCTTAGTGGCATTTCCCTCGGTGACCAGAAGCCTTCACAGCTTCTGCGTCGTATGCGACAGCTGGCCAAGGGCATCCAAGTTGGTGACATGATGTTGCGAGAATTGTGGATGCAACAGCTACCCCAACAAGCGCAATGCACTCTGGCCCTTCTCGTAGATGAAGTCTCACTAGACAGACTGGCTTTGGCGGCGGACCGCTTTATGGAAACCGCCTCCGCCCAAATTAGTCAGTGTGTTCGTTCGTCCACAACCACTACGGAGGCGACTCTCACAGATTTAGCTGCACAACTCAGTGCCCTTCGGGCGGACGTGACCGCTATTCAGTCTTCACGTTCGGCACGTCGTAGCCGCTCCCCAACTCGCACCCGTCGGCCTATTGCCGCTCGCAGTCCTCCTAGGCCATCCTCTCCCGATGCACACACTTGGACATGGTGTTGGTATCACCGCCAGTATCGTGCCAGCGCCAGGAAGTGTACACCCCCGTGCACGTTCCACGACAACCAGGGAAACTCGTCGGCCAACGTGTAGGTACGGCAGCGCTCGTTGGCCTCCCTACACCCTGCCGTCTTCTATTTATCAAGGACCTCATCTCCCACCGTCAGTTTTTGATTGACACTGGCGCACAGATCAGTGTCGTTCCCCCTAACCCTTCTGATCGTCAGCACCGGCAAACTTTAGAGCTTCAGGCCGCCAATGGGTTTCGTATATCCACTTTTGGTACTAGGCGTCTCAAGTTAGATCTGGGGTTGCGTCGTTTTTTTCAGTGGACTTTTGTCATTGCTGACGTTTCCCAGCCCATCTTAGGAGTTGATTTTCTGCATCATTTCAACCTTTCGTTACATCCCGCTTCTCGTAAGTTAACCGACCCTGTGACTCATCGTGCTGTTGTTGGATCTGTCTGCTTGGTCAACGTTGTTCGACCGTCCGTAGCTCCTATCGCCAACGATACCTTCGCCAAAATTTTAGCAGAGTTTCCGTCTCTAACCGGACCGGCAAACCACTTACCCATGGTGCGCTCGGCTGTTGTACATCACATCAGTACCGCTGGACCTCCTGTTTTTGCCCGTCCGCGTCGCCTAGCCCCAGACAAACTGGCCGTCGCTCGTCTTGAATTCCAGAAAATGCTGGACCTAGGCATCATCCGTCCTTCGAACAGCCCGTGGGCCTCTCCATTGCACATGGTGCCGAAGAGAACTTCGGGCGACTGGCGTCCGTGTGGTGACTATCGTCGCCTCAATCAGGTCACAACGCCAGATCGATATCCTGTGCCTCACATTCATGATATCACGTCTGCTCTGGCTGGATCCACCATCTTCAGCAAAATCGACCTGGTCCGGGCTTATCATCAAATTCCGGTCGCCGACGAGGACGTTGCAAAAACCGCCGTTACCACTCCGTTTGGTCTATTTGAGTTTCTCCGTATGCCATTTGGCTTGCGCAACGCGTCCCAAACGTTCCAGCGGTTTATTGACGGTGTTACCCGCGGACTGCCCTTCGTTCACGCTTACATCGATGATATTCTTGTCGCTAGCCCCAGCGTTGACGAACATCAGCTTCATCTTCGACAGCTCTTTCAGCGGTTAACAGAGCACGGTGTTACCATCAATGCCGCCAAGACTGAATTAGGGAAGCCGTCATTGCTCTTCCTCGGCCACATCATCGACGCCAACGGCATTCGTCCGGCTGAAACCAAGGTCAGTGATATTGCTGAATTTCCACTTCCACAGTCCTTCAAACAGCTTAAACGTTTTAACGGCTTTGTCAATTATTACCGCCGGTTCATCCCACACTGCGCCACCCTGATGCAACCGCTCACTGATCTTTTGCGGGGCAAACAACGAACCCTCATCTGGACCGATCAAGCCCAGGAGGCCTTTTCTCAGCTCAAACAGGCCTTGTCGTCTGCGGTTCTTCTCCGTCATCCGGATCCCCATGCTCCCGTCAGTATCGCTGTTGATGCTTCCGATGTCGCACTTGGCTGCATTCTCCAGCAGGCCGTGGACGGCGCCTGGGAGCCTCTGGCTTTTCACTCACGCCGCCTGTCTTCCGCAGAATCCAAATACAGTGCGTTTGGTCGTGAGTTACTTGCCGTCTACACCGCCATACGTCACTTTCGCCACGCTCTGGAAGGACGGGAATTCATCATTTTCACAGATCACAAGCCACTACTGTATGCTTTCCGCAACGCGTCTGATCGTCATTCTACACGAGAAATTCGCCAGCTGGATTTCATATCGCAATTTTCTACCGACATTCGTCATATCTCCGGGTCAGCTAATGTGGCTGCAGATACTCTTTCCAGGATCCACAGTCTCGGGTCGCCCGCTGCTCTCGGTATCGATCTCGAGGACCCGGCACGAAGCCAGCAGGATCCTGAGTTTCAACAAACCATTCGCGATACAAGTCTCCGAGTGCGGGCTTTGCCTCTTCCGTCATCTGCTGGCACTATCCTCTGCGACACCACCTTGGATCACCCAAGGCCAATCGTACCACTTTCACATCGCCGTCCAATTTTCGATGTGTTGCACGGTCTATCCCATCCGGGTATCAAGGCCACATGCAAACTAGTCCGTGCCCGATTTGTTTGGCCAAACATGGATCGCGACGTTCGTCAATGGGCACGTAACTGCATTGCTTGTCAGCGAGCCAAAATACAGCGACATAACACCAGTCCAGTCGGAAATTTTGAGACTCCAGACGCCCGTTTCGCTCACGTGCACGTCGACATTGTGGGACCTTTGCCACCATCCCGAGGTATGATCTATCTACTCACTTGTATTGATCGTTTCACTCGTTGGCCCGAGGCCATACCCATTCCGGATGTATCCAGTGAAACTGTCGCCCGTGCGTTCATGGTTCACTGGATTTCCCGCTTTGGTTGTCCTACCACAGTAACCACCGATCGAGGAGCTCAGTTTGAATCTGCCACTTTCGACAATCTCCTCCAACTGACTGGCACTAAGCGTATTCGCACCACAGCTTATCATCCCCAGGCAAATGGCTTGGTCGAACGTTTTCACCGGCACCTCAAAACTTCGCTCAGTGCTCACAACAATCCTCAGTGGACGGACG